TGAGTTTTGGCAGGAGTTGTTCAAACACATGGGGACCACATTACAACTAAGCTCAGCCTATCATCCACAGACTGATGGACAGACTGAAAGGCTTAATCAATGTCTTGAAATGTACCTCAGATGTATGGTCTTTCATCAGCCTAAACAATGGGGTAGATGGATCAGCCTGGCTGAGTGGTGGTACAACACGACTCTGCACACTGCTATCAAGATGACTCCCTTTGAAGCCCTTTATGGCATTAAATCCCCACAATTAGCTCTTGGACCTTATCAACACCTCAAGGTGGCTGCAGTGGAAGAACTCTTGCAGGAAAGACACAAAATGGATCAGGCATTAAGAGAAAACTTGGCACAAGCACGAGCAAGGATGAAGCATTACACTGACAAACATAGAAGTGAAAGGGAATTTCCAGTGGATGATTGGGTGTACCTCAAACTACACCCTTATGCGCAACAGACAGTAGCCCAGAGAGTGAACAAAAAATTAGCAGCAAAGTACTATGGCCCTTACAGAGTAATTCAGAAGATTGGGAAGGTTGCTTACAGATTGGAACTACCCCCATATGCTAAAACCCATCCTGTGTTTCATGTTTCTTTACTAAAGAAAAAACTGGGGGAGAAAGTAGTTCCAATCCATACACTACCAGCGTTATACAAGGGAATGGGAGACCACAAACAGCCTGGGAGGGTTCTCTCTACCTGAATCATTAAGGGAAACAACCAAGCTATTACTCAATGGTTGGTGCAATGGGAAGGGACCAATGTAGAAGATGCAACCTGGGAATCTGCTGATTTTATTCAATCGACATTTCCTTCTTTTGAACCTTGGGGACAAGGTTATTTTAAGGGGAAGGGATGTTATGAAGACAAGCCACAGTCCGAGAAAGCCTGGGGAAGAAAGAAGAGAAGAAGCAGCCGTGAGAGGAAACAGAGGAGGAGGGAAGAAGAAGCAACGGTCACAGATTTTGAATAGGCGGCATACGGTGTCGTTTTGCTTTTCCCCTATTTTGTTAAAGTTGTAATGTTCCAAAAACACGTTTTTTCCTTCTAGCAATTTCCCATTTTGCTATAATAGTAGGGAGGAAGAGATAGTGGGTGTGATTGATGTGTGTGAAAGTTTCCGTATTCTCTGTCTAGACTCCTTCTTCTCGTCTATCCTCATTTTCTTTTGTTCCTTGTTGATTGCTGTAATTAACTTGGATATTACAATTAATATAGTGGAGACTGAAATTCCTCTTCATTTTGA